CCATACTGTCTTGATGATTACAGCTTTGTAATACAGCTTGAAGTCTGTATTATTATTATCTTTTAAGTTTATTTATTTATTTTGAAAGAGACAGAGACTGTGCGAGTGGGGGAGGGGCAGAGAGGAGACAGAGAATTCCAAGCAGGCTCCACGCTGTTAGCATGGAGCCCGGCCCTGGGCTCAAACTCACGAAACCTTGAGATCATGACCTGAGGTGAAAGCACCAGTCCGATCCCTAACCAACTGAGCTCCCAGAATTTATTCAGAACACAGAAAGACAGGATACTGTGGTAGAAACCAGCAATATTAGAACTTACGTTTTCAGCGACGTAGCATTTCTAGGTGATGATCAAGTCTGGAGTGTGGCCAGGGTGAAATGGAATAGAGGTGCAAGGTCTTGAAAATGAAGCTTGCAAATTAATGCAGGGGAAGTGCAGCAGACGGCAGGTGGAGATGTGGGATAGACGATGAAGTTCAGTTTTTCAAAAACTGAACACCATAGAGGAGTAGAGAGGCTCAGGGGAAGGGTCCTGTGAGTGAACCACATTTCCACTTTCTCTAGGAGTCTGTCTTTTCCACTACACCGTGAACTCCTTGAACAATCAGGGCTTTTATTCTGTTCCTACTTTGTGCTCAAAATTCAGATAGACTGAATATCTACTTCTGCTGGCATTGTTCCCTAGTTCACAGTATCACAAAACCCCTTAAGATGGGGTTCATTTTATAGATGAAACCTAGAAAGTGTATTGTTCAACATCACACAGCCAGGGCGTGTATGATCAAAAGCCGGTGATTCTGCTGGAACCCACCATTGTCTCATTTTGAACCTCCCCAGGCATCTCCAGTTCATGAAGTCCAAAGTTTAACTGGTCATCTCTACTGTTTCGCCCAAACGTGCGTCTTCTAAGTTTTGTTTCTTACTGAATGGTGCCACCATCCACCCAGAGGTCCACACGAGAAATCGGGGAGTCTTGGGGCGCCTGGGTGGCTCAGTAGGTTGAGCATGTGACTCTTGGTTTCAGCTCAGGTCGTGTGATCTCTCTCAAGATAAACAAATAAACTTAAAAAAAAATTTAAAAATACAGTTTTCAGAAAAAGGTAAAATGATGACAGTCATGCTGCTAAAGAAACATTTATTCTGACGACAGTTGTTCAAATGGTAAGGAAGACTTTTTTCAGGACCATTGTGATAAGCGTAAAGACTATCCCAGTCAGAGAGGTTGGGTTCCACTCTGAGTACAATAAGGACAAGGGGCTATTTAGAGCCAATGAGAAGTATGAGAGGGTCAGTGGATGGAAAATTACATCGAGGATAAGGAGATCCTGGCTAAACTGACTTAGCAGGGCTCTTGCTGAAAGTGGCTGGTGGTCCAAGGATGAGGCCTATTTGAAAAGAAACCTCAGAGGAGCCCGTCTGAAGTTTGGTCGAGGAGAGTCTTTGTCAATATCTACATAAAAATGAACACGTGTGAAAGATGTTATTTAACTCACGAGGGAACTGGCAGATGGTATAGCTAGTTTAAAAGAAAATCTGAAGAACAGACATTTACAGATCAAGAGTACAGAATTGAATATGACAATGGAGGCGAAAACTGTTTGCTTGTTTGTTTGTTTTGTGTGATGTGGGGAATAGGGGGTTAATTGAACCTGATATTGGGACAAAATTTGCATGTCGGATCAGTTACCTACAGAGTTGTAAAATAGTTCCCATGGAAACAGAATCTCGTAAGGCAGCAGCAGGATCGTCACTTCTGGGAAGTGTTTCCCGAGTCTCTACGTGAGAATGGGTTGCAATTTCTGGGCAATCGTGTTTATCACACTATATTGTTTATATCCTTCCCTTCCTCCCATACACGCTCATGAACTTTTTGAGGCAGACATCGTGACTTATTCCAAGTTTCCTGGCTCTGAACAGCAGCTTCTTAGGAACATAACATGCTAAGAGGGTAGTGGAAGCCGCAAGATAAACATATTGGGTACTAATGGAGCGTCCATTTTATTCTAATATCTGGGAAAACGCAGTTTTACATTGAAGCTGGCGCTTCCCTCTTCACTCAATGTTTCCTTGTTTTATTAACTAACCGTTTTCTATTTCAAGGTCGCGGGACACCCTGGGGATACAAAAATGCGCCTGAGCAGTCGCAACGAGATACCCCGAGCAAGCAACAATTGTGAGACTAAATGGCACTAAGTGGCAGGGGCACCACGGACACGCCGGGAAGGGGCTGGCCCGCCGTGACAGGTCTTGGGGCGCGCCAGAAACTGTCGCACTGGCCTCTGGGTCAGGCTCGGCCCGGCAAGAGAGCCCTGGTGGGAGCTGATGTCTTCCCAGTCTGAGGGGTGGGAAATGGCATCCGGGCCGGAGCGCGTCCAGGAAGGAGAGCCCCCCGCCGGCTCTCGGAGCGCCCCAGCCCCGCCCGCCTGCGCTCGGGCCTCTGTAGTCCTCTGTCCCCCTCCGTCTCGGGCGCCCCGCCCGCCAGGCCCCGCCCCGTGACGCCAGGCCCCGCCCCGTGACGCCAGGCCCCGCCCCGCGGCGCCCGCTTCCAAGATGGCGGCGGCGATGCCTGCCAGGCAGTCCGGGTGGCGGTGACGACGGGAAGCTGGAGAGCAGGTATGTGGGCTGGGGGTGATGGGGCGAGAGGCCCGGGAGAAAGGTTCGGGCGACTGGCGCGTTGAGAAGTTTTGGGCAAAGGCTGGAGACCAGCTTGAGCGGGGGGGGGGGAAGCGTCCCAGGTGGACGTTCGGACAGAGGCCGGTGGGCTCACGTTGCAAATGCAAGAGGAGGTTGGGGTGGGATGGGGGTGCGCGGAAAGAACCGGTCTGTGACCCTCTGCAGCGCGCTGGCCACGCCCCTTCGGTGAGCCGGGCCAGGTATCCCCGACAGGTTCTGCCCAGCCCTCCCTCTCCCTGCCTCACTTTTAGCCGTAACCCTCCTCCCCACCCCCGCTAGGACGGGGATGGGGTAGAAAAGGTAGAGGAGGCCACCCCCACCCTCCTCCCCGCCGCGCTCCGGGGCTGTTTGCTTGCAGCTCCCAGGTGGTCACGCTGCCTGCACCTGCGGAGCTAGCTCCCAGGCACGTGAAGAACGGAAAGGAGCCTGTTTCCTACTCCGCCCTTGGTCCTCCTGAGGCCACTCCACAATCCTGTCGTGACTGCCTCACCCCTTGGCGAAAATAATGGCTCCATTAGCTGCCTTGTCCCTACTCCCCAAACAGGTTGGTCCTGTTGGGGTGGGGTATGGTTAAGTAAGCGTGAACCCGACCCTCTAGGCAGCCGGGGCAGAGGCCAGGGACCTACGATCTCTGGCTTCTCCCCTTGTCTTTCCAACCGCTTTCCCTCACTTCCCAGTTTCACCCTGATGTTGAGCTCTGCCCCTCTGGGTGGGTGGTTATCCTTGACCACTTGTGTTACAGCTGGCCCCAGGATCGCTGTTGGAGTGTCGGATGGAGCCCTTCTCTGTCCTCTGTGACATTTCCAATTTTAGATAATGCCTCACATCTCTGCCCCGCCGGGACCCCCCGAAGCTCCCATGATCCCGAAGAAGACGGCTTGAACCTAGGTGAGTCTGTCCCCCTCTAAAATTGGAAGGGAGGTTCTCCGGGGACTCCTTTGAAAGGGACATGGGACCTGAATGATGTAAGCATTCTTGGGGGTGGGGACCGAGAGTAGTTGGCTGAGTGGTTTGGGGAGGAGGTGGAGGAGAGTGAAACTTGGGCTGAAAATGGCAGGTGGTAGGGCTGCTGGCGGTTACATTCTGTTTCTTTCTCGTGCCTGACCGTTCACCTGTGTGCTCCCTTCTGCGACTTTGTTCTTTGTCTCTTCCTCTTAACTCGCGGCGCCGCCTTCATTCTTTTAAAATTTTCTTTTTTTGAACGTTTATTTATTTTTGAGACAGAGAGAGACACAGCATGAACGGGGGAGGGGCAGAGAGAGAGGGAGACACAGAATCGGAAACAGGCTCCAGGCTCTGAGCCATCAGCCCAGAGCCCGACGCGGGGCTCGAACTCACGGACCGCGAGATCGTGACCTGGCTGAAGTCGGACGCTTAACCGACTGCGCCACCCAGGCGCCCCACCGCCTTCATTCTTAACTGAGGATCTCTCTGCTGGCTTGCTTGTTGCCTGCCTGCCCCCCAGAACTCTCCTCTCTCCCTCCTCAGACCTCACCCCAGGATGTTGCGGAGGCTGCTGGAGCGGCCCTGCACACTGGCCCTGCTTGTGGGCTCCCAGCTGGCTGTCATGATGTACCTGTCCCTGGGGGGCTTCCGAAGCCTCAGTGCCCTATTTGGCCGAGAGCAGGGGCCGACATTTGACTATTCTCATCCCCATGATGTCTACAGTAACCTCAGTCACCTACCTGGGGCCCCTGTTGCCCCAGGGGGTCCTCCAGCTCCTCAAGGTCTGCCCTACTGTCCAGAACGATCTCCTCTCTTAGGTGAGTGCAGAAAGGAGGAGGAAGTAAAGGGAAGGCCAAGGTGTGGGGACAGGGCTAGGGCGGCAGGAGTGGGGCTTGGATGATGTTAAAGTACCTGAAAGGTGGGCTGAGGTTGACGTGGAGCCCGTTCTGAATTTGGAATTTAGATTGGGCTCCTGGGTTGAGCCACAACTTTCCATCGCCTGGCCATTGTCGTGCTCTCCCTGCCTTGGGCTGGGAATTGCTTCCTTTGTAGCTGAGCTCTGGTTTAGTTAGTTGCAAGTCCTGTGTTCTCCATCTTCTAACGGTAGCCTCCAGCCTAGCGAGGCAGGAGAGAGGGAGCGTGAAAAGAGGCAGGCCGGGTGGAGAGCCTGTACCTTCCACACTTTGTAAAGCTGTCCCAGTGACGGCATACGCGAGGCTTGTGAGGTTTCTAACGAGCCCTCGGGAAAGCTGAGCCCCGGCACCAGGCTGCCGGGGCCAGAGGCGCTCCCAGGCCTGGGGGTCCTTTTCTTATCGCCCCTCGAATCCCTGACCTTGCCGTTCTCTCCCCGCAGTGGGTCCTGTGTCCGTGTCCTTTAGCCCAGTGCCGTCCCTGGCGGAGATTGTGGAGAGGAATCCCCGGGTGGAGCCGGGGGGTCGGTACCGCCCCGCAGGGTGTGAGCCCCGCTCCCGAACCGCCATCATTGTGCCCCACCGTGCCCGGGAGCACCACCTGCGCCTGCTTCTCTACCACCTGCACCCCTTCCTGCAGCGCCAACAGCTCGCCTACGGCATCTACGTCATCCACCAGGTACCCGGGCCCCGCCCGGCTCTCTCTGTGACGGAGCCTCGGGTCCCTGCCCCCCCACTCCCACGTAGTAGGTCCCTGGAACAGTTCTGAGGGGGTCAGACCGTTGAAGGTGGGGAAAGACGCAGCACTGCTCGGCCAGCTTGTCCGCCCCGTAACTCCCCCGGTTCTGTTTAGGGTGTTGTTCCCACGGTCTTCCGTGATCTCTTCCTTCGTTGAACTTGCAATGGTGCAAGTTTGGCACCGGCCAGACCCGGACTAAAGTTAGTTCTGCCATTTGTCCCACACATGACCTTGAACAAGTTTCTTAACCCCCTAAAATGAGGCAAAGAGTGAAAACTAATAGACACCTGTTTTCCGTGGCTATTGGTTGTCAGGATGAAAATGCTAGACAGCGGCACGTAAGTATCAGACACATGCTGATGCTCAACAAGTATCTGCTGAACGAAAAATGAACGTTTGTCTTTCTCTCCATTCTGCTCGCCACCCTCCCTTCACCCGCCTTTGATCTCCCTCCTTTCATTTTTGTACTTGGGCCCCTCTTCTCCATGCTGCCTACAGACACGGTCTGCTTCTCCTCCATTACCTTCCAGGCTGGCAATGGGACCTTTAACAGGGCCAAGCTGCTGAACGTTGGGGTGCGGGAGGCCCTGCGTGACGAGGAATGGGACTGCCTGTTCCTGCACGACGTGGACCTGCTGCCCGAGAACGACCACAATCTGTATGTGTGTGACCCCCGGGGACCCCGGCACGTCGCCGTCGCCATGAACAAGTTCGGATACAGGTATAGAGGGCACGAGAGGGCGCGGGGAAGTAGGGAACCCCACCGTCCACTGGGGGCAGAGCCAAGGGGATGTGGGTGGGGATGTCTCCCCAAAAGACTTGTGGAATCCAGGCACCTTTCTCTCCCTAGCCTCCCGTACCCCCAGTACTTTGGAGGAGTCTCGGCGCTCACTCCTGACCAGTACCTGAAGATGAATGGCTTCCCCAATGAATACTGGGGCTGGGGCGGTGAGGACGACGACATTGCTACCAGGTCAGACTTCCTGCCACCACTCCCTACCCCCACCTCAGCCTGGGGGCCTGTCCTCGGAGAGCACGCCTGACTCTAGCGAGCCGGACCCACACCGTGCCCATTCTTCTCAGCTTTTTCAGTCCACCCGGGTCAGGCTTTGCGTGCCGGTCTCCATTCTGTCGTCCCCCGGTCTCCTAGATCCTGATGAGTTATGTTTCTGGGAGAGACGATGAGATCAAGAGGCTACAGTATCACGGGATTCCTTCCAGAGTCGGAAGCGGGCCTAGCGACACTTCAGTCCTGCCTGCCGCCAGGCTTGCATCCAGACCACTTCCGGTGGGGCAGGGGAGGAGGGGCTCTGCTCCATAGAGCCCAGAACCACTTTGTTGGTTGGAGTCCGTGTCACTGGCACGGTGCCAGCTCATTTTTAGCCTGTGAAATGCTTTGACCTTCAGCCTCAGCTGACCCAGTTTCCTATCTGTGGCGTGAGGATTTGGGCTTGCTGTGCTAGACCCGTCGCGTCCCCTCCCCGCCTTGGCCCCTCCGGGACGAGCTCTCTGAATTCTTGTCCTCTGTATGTGTGTGAAGGACCCAGCAGTTTCTAAACGTACGTGTGCTTTCAGTACCTTCCCAGGCCATCTTCAGGTCTTGCTTCTGTGTGTCCCAGATGGGGTTTGTTTCCCTCCAGGTCCTGATTATTTGGTTCCGTTCTTTTCCTAATGACGGGGACAGGTGGAGGGGTCGGGGTGAGGGAGTTGAGGCAGCTCGGCCGCCGTTCTAGGTAAGAGTTGCCGAGCTTGGGTCCGCGACTCTCGGTCTTGCCCTGTCCTTTTGATCAGATGGCTCCTCTCCCTGCCCTTCCTGGACTGCCAGGGCGCTTCCCGTTAGCCACGTAGAGAGCAAAGGTGGGACCCGTTGTTTAACGAGGCCCCAGGGTTTGGATGCACTGGCACCAGCCCCAGGCTTTGGATACATCCAGCTTCTACGTTCTCTTGTGCCACTTCCTTCTTTCTCTTTGACTTTCTCTCTTCTTCCAGTACGTGGCACTTTTTTGCCTAACCGGTGAGAGTGGCTCTCTGTGTACAGAAACACGTAATCGCTTCCTTGCTGGCCGGACGTAGCTCCTGTTGGCCTGTCCGGAGCTTTCCTCCACTCCGGATCCTCCACGGTGCCCTCACTTTTCCCATAGGGTACGTCTGGCTGGGATGAAGATCTCGCGCCCCCCGACATCCGTGGGGCACTATAAGATGGTGAAGCACCGAGGAGACAAGGGAAATGAGGAAAACCCCCACAGGTAGGGAGGACCGCCCGCGAATGGTGACTGGGCCCTCAGGGTTCTGCATCCCAGCCAGGAAACGCCTAGAGGTCCCTAAGTCCCCGGCTGTTTCTCTCTGGGCCTTAGTTCTCCAACCTCTGACCCTCAGATTTGACCTCCTGGTCCGTACCCAGAATTCTTGGACACAAGATGGGATGAACTCACTGACATACCGACTGCTGGCTCGAGAGCTGGGCCCTCTCTATACCAACATCACAGCAGACATTGGAACTGACCCTCGGGGTCCCCGGACTCCCTCCGGGCCCCGTTACCCACCTGGTTCCTCCCAGGCCTTCCGCCAAGAGATGCTGCAGCGCCGGCCCCCAGCCAGGCCTGGCCCTCTGCCTACTGCCAACCACACAGCCCCCCAGGGCTCACACTGACTCCTTCCTGCCCACCTCAATCATGAAACTGAATCCGAGGGGTCGCATTCTCCCCGCCCTCGGCTCCTCACTGCTCTCAGAGGGGACGTGGGGGAACTGAACTCCAGTGCTGGGCTGGAGGCAAGGGCCTCTCCTCACTGCTGGACTGGAGCTGGGCTCCTTTAGACCTGGGGGTCCCTCTTTCTAGGGTCGCCTGCCAGGGCTTATGACTGTGAATCCTCGATGTCATGATTTTATGTGATGACTCCTGAGAGTCCCCGGCCCCAGGGGTAAGAGCAGGGCTGGACCCCAAGTCCCTTCCTCTTCCAGGAGAGAAGAGTGATCCGGCTTTTCCTGGGACCTCTGTGAATATTTATTCTATTTATGGTTCCGAGGAAGTAATGTTTGGTGAAGGAAACCCCTCCCTGGGTACTTTTCTGCCAGTGCTGGAGTAGCTTCCTCTTCTGGACCTGGCGCAGGGGGGCTGGGATTTTGATATATTTTCTAATAAAGGACTTTGTCTTGCCTCTGCTCCTGCTTGCTGCATCCCAGGCACCTCGTGCCTATCTTTGCGACCTGCCCCCTGCCGCCTCGTGCCTGTAGGTGACAGAACAACCAGATCCAGCCAAGCTCCAGCAACTTTTATTTTCGTGGGTCAAGAACTGCCACCAGCGGGGCCAGGAGGAGGTGGGAGTTGGGGATCAGCTGTCCGGTTCCGAGCCCAGGACCCGGGCTGCTGCCTGGCGTCCGCTCTCTATACAGTCGTTGACGGCAACCCCCTCATAGGAGGCTCCGGCCAGAGTCAAGGGCAGCCTCTGAGAAGCCAAGAATTGCGTAGCTGCCTCTGGAAAGAAAAGATGAAAGGACGGTTAGAGCTGGGGGTCTGGTCTCCTTGCCCTCCTCAGCACACTCGCTCTCCCAACTCACCCAGTTTCTGCCAGTGGCCTAGTGTATACTGGGGGATGCAGTTCTGGGGAGAGAAGAGGGGATACGGGGAAATTTTTGCTGCTGATGTCCAAGCCCAGGTAGACGGTGACAAATCCACCGCTTCCTGCCTTCGGTGGGAGTCGAGGAGCGTTTGCTCAACTCACCTTGTGTAGATGGACCAAGCAGTGGCTGGGTGGCTCTTTCAGTCCTAACTGGGTGGCAGCTGCTTCCTGGGCCTGTTGTTGGAGCAGCTCCGGAGATAAGACGGCTCCCCTGGCTGCCAGCGTCTGTAACCAGGACCCTCCCAGCATCACCTAGGGAGAGGATATGGCACTGAGCAGCCTGGCCTGGCCTGCGCTGGGCACGGAGGAGCCCTCTGAAACCCCCGCCAAGCAAAGCTGTCGCTTCTCACAGTCACTCGGAGGCCAGGGGGGCTTCCGTCCTGCTCAGGGAAAGCAACCGAGTCATACACAATTCCCAGGACGCCCGGGTCTTCTGAGGATGGCACCAAATGTCCGAATCCCTGGGGCGAGGAGAAGACCGGGTCAGGAAGGAGAGGTTCTGGTGGAGCCCATGCCTCTTGTTCCTCTGTGTCACAACAGCTACCTGCACAGGCAGACGGGCTCCTCGGTACTGCAGGTTCACCACAGCCACAGACACCGCAGTGATGGCGCTCAGGGCCCGGGCCAGAGGCGCAGCCTCCGCAGGGAGCAGCTTGCCGAGCACTGGGGGGAGAGCAGGTGGAGGCCCGCGTCAGGAGGCCTTCCCACCAGTCTCGCCCACCCTCCCCGGGGTTAGACCCCCACAGGGATGACCAGTTCGGGGGCACAGGATGGTCCCATGGGTCCCGGAAGCTAAACTTTGCCTCACTCCCGCCGGGGAAGGGGACGGTGGCTACCTCGTTACCTGAAGCTGGAACAGCACTAATAACGTGGTCAGCATCCAGACTGCTGTCCCCTAGAGACACCTGACGGGATGAAAACATTTGAGGGACGGAGAGAATGGGAATGTTGCCCCACTTTCCCAGGCACCAAACGGGCAGGAGAGATGGAGTGCTGACCCAGGATGAAGAGACTGTGCGATCAGCACAGAACCCCCGGCCCCCC